GCTTGTATTTTCTTAAAGTTGTTTTGAAGTTAAAAAAAAAAAAGCAACAACAATTTAGGTTGGAAGGGATATCTGGAAGTTATGTAATCCAACCTATTGCTTCAGACTGAATCAGGTGTTTCAGGACCTCATCTGTTCACATTTTAGGTATCACAAAGAATGGAGATTCCACAGTATAGAATCATAGAATCGTTTGGGTTGGAAGAGACCTTTAAAGATCATCTAGTTCTAACCCCCCTTGCTTTGGCAGGGACACCTGCCTTTAGGCTAGGTTGCTCAAAGGCCCACCTATCCTGGCTGGCTGTATCTCTGGGACCCCGTTCCAGTGCCTGACCAACAATACTGACATTGTTTTGAGAAAAATAATTCCCACCCAGCAAGTTTTTCACATTAAGCAAAAAGGCTCCTTTCTTGAAATTTCAAAAAGTAATACACATAGCAAGCTGACTCTCACATTACTTCTACAAATTTCACCCAGTCTTGGAGAATGAATGATAGCATAAATAAGAGCCTCTCAATCACACTTTGTTACTTTCATACTAGAGCAAGGTTATGGCCTTGGTTCATTGCACAAGGTAATGAGCAAGTGGTACACACCTTCTCAGGGCAAGATTTTACTTATAAGTGATTGCTGGAATGAGTCCAAATTCATGTCCTAACACTATGCAGTTTAATCACAGGACAGAACTGTATATTCAAGCACAAAAGCACGTAGATATTTTTAATTATTACTAACATGATTCCAATCTCACGGTTGAATGATCCCTATGCGCAATGGAGGATAATCATCATCCACAGTGTATAATTTAGACTGCAGCACAAGATGCTTATCTAAAGAAGAATTAACACTTTACAAATTCTTTCTGCTTTTACACAATTTTTTTTTTCATTTTAACTATTAACCCCAGAGGTAAATTTTAATTTTGCTCTTCAAAACAAGCATTTTAGCATTAGCTCCCAGAGATCTATTCACTTAGGAAACAGGTAAGCTTCTGCCTTCTGGAGCCTGGCTGACAGAAGCAGCCATTATCTTTGGCCATTTAAGTTTTGTCAGCTGGGATTACAATTCAAGAGACAAAGCTGAGTCCTCATAACCATGTAGCGGCCCTTCAGAGCTGTGTATTTTATGTCACATGCATGAGATGTCTGATAGGTATTATGACAGCAGTATAACAGTCAGTAGAACTCTGCATGTGCTATGCATTATCACATCAGGTGTCCTAAAGCAACAGAAGCTCCTCTGAAAGTTGCTCCTCCAGAGCAACTTCACTATTTCAGTATCCTCTTTGAAATCTTTCAGTGCTCCACTTGCTCCTACCTTACCTATCCCATATCATCTCCTAAACTCAGAGACAACTCTCACCTTGCTGATGCTGCTGGGGACCCTGCTGTCCCTACTGGCTCAGCTCCTCCTCTTCCCTACTGTTTGCTGGCTTGGATTAGAAGGAAACATTAGGAGGCATTGATAGTACTTGCATGCTTCAACAGACTCCAATTAGTGTCTCGAGCCCATTCTTTACATATTAACATTATAATGCTATGAATAGTAGTAGTTCATAGTATTACCAATTGCCAACTTCAGGGATACCAACTAGAGTGAGTAATAATTTGAGGGAAAGAAAAAACACCTCTATTTGTAACCTCAAGAGAGTTTTTATTCCTGAGATGTGGGAGGGGGAGAAAAAAAAAAAAAAAAAAAAAGGCAACAACAACAAAAAACAACAGAAATCCATTAGCCCTAACCCTAACCTTAACCTTCAGCCTTAACCAGGTTTCTAACAAAATCTAAAATGCCCTAAGAGCATCTAATACCTGGCAGTGCAACTAGGTGTGAGAATCAAGTGTTGTTTCTGCATTAGAATTGTATATTATTATTTTTATTTTATGATCTCCACTCTCATAGTTCTTTTTGGGAGTCCCTCTACTTAACTTGGGGAAGATCTCTGATAAGTTTACATCACTTATCGTATAGACGAACCTTCCCAGGAACGCATACTCTGTATATAGGTGTATATATGTATATTTTGCCACATACACTGCAAGAATATCCTTCATGAGAACAAGCCATGACATGCCCGAGGAAGAGCCTGAAGAAACATTGGGAAGGCCTGACATCATCCCCCAGTGCTCTTTGTTTAACGATGATGACTTTAAAGAAAATCACCATATCAACAGGACAAGGAGAGCACCGAGACATCTTGGATGATTACTGACTGGCACCAGATAACAAATAAATTAACAAGTAAATAGCAAATGTAAATTCTTCTGATAAGATTGTGAACCTGGAGTACCCAGCCATTGGGGAAACAGGGGAGGGGGAGGCAAAGGGGAGAAAACAGGGTATAAAGGCTGTCATGTTGTGTCCATAGGTGCGCTCCTACTTGCAGGACGCCCGCCATTGCAATCGCGAATAAATTCTGCTTTTATCAGAGATACCGTCCTGACAAAAATTATTTGGATTATTTCCAACATAGGCTAAAGACCAAAAAGCCCTTTTGTGAACAGCTAACATTTCTGTAAAAGTACATCAATATTTCAATTACAATTCAAGATGTTACTTTTGTTGCAGAAAGGAAAATCTGATACTTTCAAAGTAAGCAGACTCTGGACTCACCAGTCACTACTGTTGTAAAACCTTTGATCTCAAAAACCACACTATGAGCTTGAAAATGCTTTCAGTGTGTAAGATATAATTCTGAATGCAACTTGTCAGCAACTTCCAATCATGTTTTAAATTTCTATAATCTATAAAGAGTTCGGAAACTGGTCAGGTTTTGAAGGCAATATCAGAAGCACATCCAAGGCCATGGCAAAGACACACATATCACAAACAACTGAAGAAGTGGCATCTCTCTGAAGTTCCCCAAAAGAGCTTGAGAACTTTTAAATCCTTTTCACTTTCCTGTAATTCTTCACTTTATTTTTCTCTGCAGCAAAGGAGACTAAAAAAAGGTACTAAAAAAACGCTAAGTAGAAGGTCTGAAGCTGCATCAACTCCTATGTTTGAAATTAAGTCTTTTCCATTGTTTTCTTCTCTGTTTTACAAAACTTGTAAGACTCTCATTTGATATAGTCACAATAAAACCCACTGAAATCAAAGAAAACACAGGGGTGTCAAACTGGGAAAGTAAGTAAGCGAGATGCTAAGTGTTTCCCTGAGAAAAGAGCTTTTGAAAGAAAGACTCAAAGCATGGCTGGCTTACCTGCAGGTGTGCACAACTCTGCACCACAATGAATGCATCATACAAACAAACTCTTTGCAGGCAATCAGATCTCTTCTGCTCTGAATTGTGCACATGTAAACATAAAACAACACGTCAGAGGAAAAAAAAAATCCTACTTTTACTGTCATCTTTCTTCCAAATCACTCTCTGTCAACCTTCTGCTGCAGCAAGAAATGGTATGCAGGAGAAAACTGCCAGCACCTGGCCAAAATGAGATGAGGTGAAAGCCCTTCCCAGAAACAAGACTGCTTGCCCACCTGGCTGTCTTGGTAAGCAGGGCTTCCTGGGCTACTTTCTCCTAAATACCTCAAAACATTTTAGCAGAAATAGGAGTACCTCATAAACTTAAACATGCAGTGTAAGTAAAAAGTACTATGATCTCCTTTACTTCAAGTGACTTTACAGTAAGGGTGATGGAGCACTGGCACAGGCTGCCCAGAGAGATGATGGAGTCTCCATCTATGGATATACTCAAGACCCACTTGGATGCCCACCTGTGTGATCTATTTTCGAGAACCTACTTCAGCAGAAGAACTGGACTCAATAATCTCTTGAGGTCCCTTCCAACCCCTACAGTTCTATGGTTTTCTGACTTTGCCATCTGCTTGATGTAGATCTCCATGCACGATTTAAAGAAGAGACTGTCAATCTTTAACTTCCAAGTGAGGTCTGCCTCCAGATCAAGAGGGTTCTCCCCTGGCCTCATTTAAAAAGCCCAATTGCCTTCCACATTTCAGCCTCAGTTCTGTCATTTCCCTCACTTGCTGGTAATGATGTGAACATGGAATCATGAATGCAGAACAGCTAGTATACAGTAACTGCTGTGGAGAAAAAACACACGTGGACAAACTCACTGAAACAAATGCACAAACTGCTAATAATACAATCAACTAATAGCAGCTGAAGGATCTGAGAATATTTTGAGAGACAGGTTGCCTCATCTTATGTTATTTCTTCTGTCTGACTGACTAGCCAAAGGACAAGAGGCCATCCTTGCCAACCAGATAGAAAAGGTTCCCGAGCAGGCCCAAATCTATCACTGCAGACTCCAGTATGGGAGGGCCACACTGACCAAACAAGTGATCCCAAAAGCCACAGCTTGCCCCTGGGCTTGGGGCAAGCAGGGGCCTTTCCTTCCATCAGGGCAGGGGAGCAGCACCAGCTGTCAGCTGCTTAATACTACCCCCCCAAGAAAGGGAGATTAGTTTACACATACAATTTTAAGGCTTCTTAGCAGATAGCACTAGCAATACTTAAAGGGCAATAAAAGGCTTATTCCAAGATTTCTTTTAAAATGCAAAATATCCTAATAAATAATGTATCTAGGAGAATAATCCAGAGTCCTAACAGTAAGGTTTATTCAGGATCCTGAAATAAACCCGATTTTGAGTTGGAGCACAGCTTTTCAAGATGATTTTAAAGAAATCTCTAAACACAGCAGCAATGTGTCCTTTTCACATACAATCATTCAGCAAAGTCATTCGATTCACTGGGATTCTTCTTTCATGCTTTATCATTTTACTTTCTTAAACACTGCTATAAAACTTTTGTGTTTTACTTAACATATCATACTTTTATATTTTTCATTATTTCCCCAAATGGTGGTTATGAAGCCTGACTACAGCTATTACTGTTCATACCAGTTGTACTTACTTATGAAGATTCATAGCTGCTCCTGTATTTTATGTACATTAAACCACAAAAATTTCCGAAAATGTAAAGCATCCCACTCTTTCGCATAATATACCGATTTTCAAGCCAACACAGTTGTAGATCAAGCATTTTTTATTATAAGCACAGAAACAGACAGAATGTTAAAGGAAGATCTAAGTAAGAGGTTTATAGAAAGTTCCTCCCAGCCCCAAGATATTGGCTATATTTCCATGCTGCCTTCCACCATCATCATGTTATCTCTGACAAAATTACCTCTGATGTTTCCATTTGTTGCTGCAAATACACAGAAAAAAAGGTCTTATCATTAGCATTTGTGAGCAAGGTTCAAACCCACGAGACTGCAAATGTCTGCCTCCACTTTTGACATTTATCTTCTATAAAATTAACAGGAATTAAGTCATATATAAGGATCTGGGAGTAGTAGCATCACCTTTGTCCTAGGTGCAAAGGCACACTGCCATCCCTTCAGAGACTTTTTCTCACTGAGCAAGCTCAGCTCTCCCCTTTCTCTCCAGAAAGAGAGAAAATGTGAATTCACTTAATTCTGCCAGAATGTTTTACAGCCGAAATGAGAACAGAGCACAGCACAAACATCACTGCCATAGGGCTCCATCCAGCAGGATTCTGGAGGGTAAGGAGGAACAAGCTGGGGCTCAATAGAGACAGAAGGTGGGGATAGGTTCTCCATCCTCGTGCCTGAAAGAGAGGGAAGTAAAAAAATTATATATCAGACAAGATGTATCTCCTTTAAAATACAGCAGTGCATCACCTGCAACCCATCATGTTTTGCCCAGTAAAATATCTGTCCTCAATATTGAGAAAAAAAAGATGTGCATGCAGTCTACTCTGTCCTTGGGAAATAATTTACTCGATTGCTGATGTGCGGCTGTTATATGTCAGGGAAGAAAGGTGAGCAAATAATCATCCAAATATGTTTCAAAGCCCAATTTCAAAAATTGCTTTCTTTACTCAGTTTGTCGCTTCCTTCTGTCTGAACGTCACCGCACATCATGGAAGGCCTCCCTGTAACCTTAGCAACCTTCACTTCACAACTTGGGCTGGCAGCCATGCCAATCCCAAAATAAATTATTTTAAAGTCAACTGTAACGAATGCTAAGATGTTTCCAAATCCTGGCATATTTAAGGTCACATTGTGCTAAGGAGTCTGGCTTCTATCTAGCTACAGCCAGTCAGGTATTTTTAAGCTTACAAGGCCTGAAAAGGCAATCTTCCCTTCGTTCCTCAAGCTGAAAAAGGCTCTGCTTTTGAGGCCAGACTGGCCTCCATAGTAGCAAAACCCAGACAGCACATGTTCACGGAGGCAATAAACTATGCGCTTATCCCAGCCCCGGTGCTAATTTGAACAGCAGCGCACATGAAAATTTTTCTTCTTTTGTTTAACTAATTAGCAGAATGACAAATCAATTCAGCCACAAGAAATAAAGAACCAAAGATAGCAGATAATTAAACATTAACTCAACAAAAATCTGTTAATCCTTCCACACGGTAAATTGGGTAATAAATTTCAGTGCTCAGCATTACCACTCTTCATTGGCCCTTGAGTGCAAGAACTTGTAGGGCAAATGCATTAAAAGATGCATCAAGACCAAAAAGCCTCACACAGCAAATTCATTAGCCATGCTTTTTCAACAGGACCATTATTATAGTAGAGCTACCAGCTCAAGCAAATGTGCTTCTTGCATAATTTTGCCCTTTTCAGAAAGTGGAATATATATCAGAAACCGAATATTTATATGACAGCCAGTGTCGTAAAAAGACAACACAGTACTGGCACAAATTCGCAATGAGAAATCGAGTAGAAAAGGGACAGAAGCAGCAGTAAACCATGCCAATCAAAACCAAATGTACTTTTCTGTCTGCAGGAAACAAAATTTTTCAGCCAAATGTAGCCTTGAGACTTTCCCTTTATTTCTCCTCCACGTCTGCTCCCAGCTTCCCACCATCCCACTGTGTAATTTGATTGCCACAGCTGGCTGGGGCTGTTTGATTTCTCCTCTTCTGGCTGAGTGAAGTATGCTACTGCTCCATAGCGTAAGCAAATGCCCCAGATTTTTAGTTTGTACTTCTTGCCTGTGCTCCCAGAAATAAATTGGTTTTCTGAAGTCTGGAAGTACAAGCTGGCAGACTCAACAAAAAGGATTTATTTGCCTCTGTTGCATGTTCCACTGGGGATCACATTTTTGGCTCCCACATTCCCTGCTTTTACAGTGGCCCAGGATACTTGTGATTTCCCTGATCTTTACTTCTTGCAATGCAGGGCATAAACATCCAAATTTGGCTTTTGCTGTAGCATGACAGATGATATGGAGAACTTTGAAGATCGCTGTTTTGTAACAGAAGAAGTTCAAGATAAAGCTTCTATCCATCCTGCTGAACTTCAATTCCTCCTCTGTCATTCCCCAAAATTACACAACAGAAGAGAGAACCTATGGAGCTGCCTTCAGTACCATCATCTTGACTAGCCAAGATCTCTGCTGTCATTGTATTGAATCTCCCTTCCATTAACACTTTATTTCTGGAAAGGCCTGAAGGCACCAAACCTGATGGAGTTCAAGAAGCTTTTAGACAATGCTCTCAAACAGGTAGTTTAATCCTTAGGTAGTCCTGCACGGAGCCAGGAGTTTGGCCACTTGTGTGGCCCTTCCAACTCTGAAACTCCATGATTCTATGACTCTGTGAAATTCTCCCCAGAATGGTGGACAAGATCTGGTAACACAGCTAGCAAAGGACACATCAGAGTGAATTGGACTATAGGTTTTTGCCTCTGTGGTTTCAAGATTTTCCCTGAGCTGCAACACCCCTAGAATATAGGAACATCTCATAAAAGCTACCAGCATGGACATGCAACTTGCCCTCTTTCTTGGACACCTGGCACCACAAAGTCTGACACGCTACCTTCAAGATTTAATCAGAGGCAAAAAAATCATACATTTCTTCCATTTCAGAAATGCAGATAGTAAGTGCAGGGGAGAAGTGGCTATCTGTAGTATGGGAGAAGCTGGAATGAAAAAGATTTTTCTGAATGATTCTCATACTTAATTTCATGCTACCTCATTGTTTAAGTAAGCAAAACTCAATGCATTTTTATTTAGAGGCTCATTTATTTTGTTGTGTCAACAAAGAATTTCATATATAATCAGAGCTGATCTTGCAGCCAAACTACCATTCCTCAAGCTCGGAATTCCCAAGAGCACCCACTTACTATTAAAAAAAAAAAAAAAATTATAAATACAACCCAAGGCTCTGAAATCTTCTATAAAAGAAACAGAAGCATGGTCTGTTGAACACAAATGCTATTGAAATTGCAATGAATAAACCAATCCCGAGCTGACAATGTCACATGCGAGGATATTGATGAGAAATTAAGTCTTGGATCTAATTTGCTCTATTTAAACAGTAATTCAAAACTGCTGGGAGCATGGTAAATGATTTTCTAACTCCTTTATTTAAAAGGTCTTAGCTGGGATTGCTAGCTGCTTGTAACAAGCTTTGGAAGAACTGAATTAAAGACACATAATTGGAAAGGATCAAACAACTACTAGAACCACTGCGGGGTGCGTAGGAAAGGGAGCAGTGAGTTAAACCAGTTCATCTTGGAAAGAAAAGAGTTGGATCAGTGTGGAAGTTTATGGAACTGGAATTATTCTTGTAACTGGTCTTTGCATCATATGACAGAGCTTAAGTGATAGAGTTTGTACATTTTCTTTAAAACGTTTCATGTCCAAGTTCAGCCAGGGAAGCTTGAAGCTCTGCAGCTGGAGACTCTCCAGCCAGCAAAGGGCAGGAGCCATAGACAAAGCAAAGCATTCACAATGCCTTCAGAGAGACTCAGTTAACTTCAGTGTGGACACTTCTGCTCCTGAAAACACATTCTTATACTCTGGACCACTTCATAACTATAACAGAGTACACCAGAGATGAATTACTGCCAGCAATGGCCAAAATTATCTAGACAGGTGAAAATAAGGAGACAAGCACCAATGTACCAACCTGCCAAAACCACAGTTTGGATCACTGTGTTGGAGATGCTAAAGCCCATTCCACTGCTGTTCTTCTGTGGTTCAGTTAATGCACATGCTCACTGACACGTTATCCACTGATCAAAACACGGAATTCTTTCATTCTCATTTCAACCTCTAGGTTGGTCCAGACAAGGAATCCATCTCTAACAAAGCTAGAGGGGTATTTATGTCATTCCCATCTTTCCTGTATATTATTACATTCATAAAGAATTTGCAGATTGTTTTATATTTATTATATATTTATATTTGTTTTATGGTGAAACTAACCTGAGAGACAATTTAAATTCCTCAGCGTTCATCACATTGCACGCTGACCTACGATGACTAAGAACATGTCACCAGTTTGCAAAAGAGCATCAGAGTGCCCCAAAGTCAGCAGTGCAGGAGTTGTATCCTCCCACAGCCATAACACACAGCAGTCCCTGCTGCAGCATGCATGGCAAGCTGCCTGGCCTGCTTCACACCAACACTGTTCACAAGTCATCTAAGATGTGATCTATTACGGGAGTCAAAAGGGCATCTTCTCACTGAGCACACAAAGCAGAGTGAGCAGCATTCATCACACCCAGCCCACACCTGCTTACCCAAAGATTTCTGCAGTTTCTGTTAACTCACTGAACAAGAATTGTAGAAGCACACCTGCATTCGTGAAGCCTTTATTTAGTTTTTTTAGTATTTTGTTACTGGTTGTATGCTTCACATGAAATCTAGATCCTTGCAGTTGTCTTTCCCATCAACATTTAAGTCAGCTAGCAGGAGGGGTAGCATAGCCATGTGTGCAGCAAATCCTTTCAAGACTCCTCCTGACTCACACATTAAAAATAGCAACGCTACAGTTGATTTTCTGTAGCACGTAGCGTATGACAGATGCACTGAGCATTTTCTGGTATGCTCAGTTCCCACGTCATGGGGAGGCTGCCTTTAATCTCAGAATATTTTAATAGCACTACAAAGTCACAACTTGAAAAGTCCACAAACAGGAAGAAATATAGATTCGAAATTCGGCTGTGAAATTTGTGGAAGAGTTCTTTCATCAAATGAATCAGTTTCAAAAAATTATCGATAGAAAGAATATTCACTTGCACAGAAAGTGCCAATGAGAATGACTGTTACAGCTTGCAAGGAAAGCTGCGTCCCTGGATTTTGTTTAGGAAACAGCCTGTGAAATTAAGATTTTATCAAAACCTCCTTACGTAAGCAAGATACAACTCTGGAAAACACATCTATCTAAAGACATTCCAAATAAACATCTAACTGCATTGGTATCTGCAGTGACCACAGGGCAGATGATCACTGTTGCAGAATCAGGAATGGAGAAATAAAGTGATAGGATCCAGTTCTCCTCTGACTACTGGAAAAGTCATTGTGGATCAAAAAAAAAAAGAAACAGCAATTCCACTGCTGCGATAGTCCTAATGGTATCTGACTTGACAGACTTTTTCTCCTATCTGTGAAATGAGTAGTTACCTTCTAGTCATTCTTCTTACAATCATATCAGGATAAGCAAAAAAACTCAAAATAATTATAACATATGTATTTTATATATATACGTATTCAATCCAAAGAAAGATCCATCAGGAACAACTGATGTCAAATTCATGTTCAAGGAACCCACTATCCACTTCTTTAAGATTGCCCAGTCCTTCCTCTCCA